ACAATCCAATAGACACATTCTCCTTAAGGTCTGAATGAGTCTTCTCCCTTCTTCACTCCTCAGCTCCCACACTGGAAAATTGAATTTGAAAAAAGGAGCTTGATTAACCTACATTAGAACCATGATAATGGTGGATTTCTAGACCAATTAATGTAGGGCTTTGCAGGACATAGAAAAGATTGTATGTGTGTGTGTGTGTGTGTTTTTTTTTTTTTCCTTTTCTTATTGTGATGTGGAATCTTGCAGGATTTTAAGCTGGGTTATAAGAAGGGCTGACATATATTAAAAAAATATCCCTTTGGCTGTTGTATGATTTATTCTTGCTGGTCTGTAAAAGTCAAGGACAAAGGGAGGTGTGTCAGCTTGGGTGTGTGGTTCACACTGTGGGTGTGGGGGTGTTGGGATGGTGACTGAGTATAAGGGAGGCAGGCTGTCCCAGGGTGGGCTGGGCCGTGGGCAGCTGAGGGCACGTGTAAGTGACATGTCTCTGTGCTGATTACAGGAAACAGAGTCCAGAGCTGTTCTACATTTCCTTGTTACTTCGCCAGGGCTGAGACTGCTCCGTAGGCTACTTAAAGTCATGAAGCCTATTTTGCTAACAGTGGCTGTGCTGCTTCTCTTGTCCCACGTCATTCCAGGTAATCCAGACCTTTTCGGGGAGGGGTAGGAGGTGGAGAGTGAGTCTTGGTCAGGGCACCGCTGGACCTGTGCGGATGGGCTAACAGGTGGCAATGTGTAATACCACTTGTCTGGCAAGAGAGAAAAAACCCTGAAATCCTAGGTTAAAATCTGCCATACCATGTGTTAGCTCTGTGATGCCCCCAGCAAACCACTTAGCACCTCTGAGTTTCAATTTACTTATTTTTCAATTTGAAATAATAAATTAGGTTGAGGGTCAACATCGGACACACTAAAATTTTGGTGTGCAACAAATGTAACGTCTTTATTTTCTGTAATTCATCTAAATGTTCCTGGGAACTTCCATCCTGCTGGCAGGAAAGTTGGGAGTTGGAAAGGGCACAGGGGCTGTTCATAAACTCAGAAGACAATTATATTTCCTTTTCTGATTTCAAACAGTCTCTTAGATTAATTCATTCTGCTTTGGGTAAATGTTTAGTCTTTCTATTTTTACCACATCCCTTTTTCCTTTCCATGATGGCAGCTGGATTTAGGGGACAGTGGATATATTGTTTCTTAATTAAATAATTCATTTGTTC